AGACTGTTTCATGAAGCTCGGCCTGTATGATAGCTTGAGAAAGAGACATAGGCCTCGACATCTTAACTGTGCTGTCAATATCTCCTCACAGCCCCTCGACAAAACACTCCACAAAGTAGCTTTCAGGAATAGGTATGTGTTTACTTGCCACATAGGTTTTAAGTTGATCAAACTTAAGCCTATATTCTTCCACAATGCTCTCTTATTTGAGCATATCAAATTCAATAGTGTGTAACAACCCCACATTTTCATAAAAATACTTATAGCAAATCATGAATTAATAATTAGTGATTTCTATGCATTGTAAGTATTTACGTGATTTTATGAGCTGATATTTATATTTATATTAGAATTATGTTATTACTTGCCTAATTGATTAAATGAGTTAAGGAATTTTAATTATGTGATAAATTTCATGTATTTTGAGTTTATTATAGTACGTGCACGCATAATTTAAGTAGCTCTTATAAAATGATAATTAACTTATTACATCATATGATTAATATATGTAGAGATTTGATATATGTAGATGTACACGTTTCATATATTATGTACTCATGCAAGCTATATTATATTATGCATTATATGTATGCTAATGGGTATGTGTATGTTGTGCCTGTGTTATATTATATGGATGTATACTATGAAATATTATATGTGTAGAAGCTTATTTATGTGTTCTACATGAGTATGTCTATCTATGTATGTGCACAAGACACACCCTCACATGCTCCATCTCTGTTTCTCGGCCAACACACCCCTATAAGTCTTAATCATTAAGTAATTCATGAGATGAAAGCCTAGTTAATTTTCTTTAAATGAATTTATGATTTATATATATATATATATATATATATATATATAGACACATGTGCATTATTTCCAATGCCTGTATATTGATAGTTAAGAAACTCCAGTTAATAAATAACCAAACTATATCCACTTTAAAGAAAATCATAAACAAATAAATTTATTACCTTAAAAGTTTTAATTTATTATATGAAAGCATTTGAAAACCGAACATGGCAGATTATATAAATAACACCTAACACACAAAAACTTTGAAAAGGCCAATAGAGTCGGACACTTGTGACACAAATGAAGATATTTTTTCTTTCAAGAGAAAATATTGAGATTGATAATTGGCAAGAAAAGCTAAAACCAACCTCGTCGACATTGTTTAGTGCATGTATAAAAATACATTATCCTACTTTTCGTTCGCTTAGTCCTGCATAAACAAAATTATAGAATAAGAACATAATTTAAATGAATGATATATAGCAATTATAAATAAGAGAACCAAGTAAAATGATTAAAGGGCAAATTGATTAAAGGGCAAATGGCAAATGGCAAATGGTAAAAATACCCCTTATATTTATATTAGAATTATGTTATTACTTGCCTAATTGATTAAAGGGCAAATGGCAAATAGGCCCATGACAAGGGCACTTAATTAAAATAGGGACATCCAACTTTTTTGTCTTTCAAATAAATCCACCCCATTCAAACTTATTTGCAAATAAGGAAAATCCTTTTATATATACCAAAATTACCCCCAATTCATTGAAACCCAATTTAACTCAAATTTCATGATTTACACCCCAATTTAGCCCAATTTCATCAATTAACCAATTTTAACCCTAATTTCAATTTTGACCCCAATTTTGACCCGCCACCACCGGAGACCGCCGGTCGCCGCCGTTGACCGCCGGAGACCGGCGTTGACTTTTTTTTTTTTTTTTTTTTTCTGAAATTTTTTTTTCCTGAAATTTTTTTCGGGCCGGTCAACTGACCGCCGGGTCTCCGGCGTTGACTTTTTTTTGCGTACAGAAATCAAATTTGATTCAGGTTTTGTCTATGCTGTTCATATCTTAAATTGTCCTGTGTATTAAACTGTGTGTTGGTGTAAAATTCTTGTTATGTTCCTGGTTTCAGCTCAATCTTTGTTATTGTTATTATCTTATGCGTTTATGCTGTTTTTTTCTAGATGGGCGTTTCGACAATGAATACTTTCAGCAAACTGAAGAATCAAGTCAGTTCAGGCAAGAGTATGAAATGAGAAAAATAAAACATGCATGTGCTTTTTCTTGAAATGCGTAGGGTACAGTTGTTGATTGCATATTGTCACATTCTATGATGATGTTAAAACAGGAACAAGGGTTGGACGTCATAGCAGAAGGTCTGGATACATTAAAAAACATGGCCAATGATATGAATGAGGTTATCTTTCTTTTTTATTCATGCTATTTTTTAATACTGTTTAATTGCTAATATCTTGTTGCTTCCCCACATTTAATCTTTTTAAATATGCTTTTTTTTTTTATATAATTTTGTTTTTTCTTAAAAAAAATATTTTAATTAATTTTACTGTCTTGGCTGCTAAATTACTGTTAATTGACTGTTTTTTTTTTCTTCAAAAATATTTTAATTAATATTACTGTATTCGTTGCTAAATTACTGTGTGTGTGATAATGTTTAGATCTACGGTTCAAATTCATCCAATATAAATAACCAAGTATAGCATCAAATTTTCCCATACTTTGGTATTTTTTTTGGTAAATTTCAGTTGGTGTGTAATATATATACCATGGTATTCCGTAATTAGTAATTTCTTTCCACCTGTAGTCAGAACTCGGAATAGAATTCCAACATTTGCAATATATATTGAGGTCCGGTGAAAATAATAAACAACCAAAAATGATATATAGAGATAGGTCTTCAATCAATTAGTTATGGAGCATGCAAATTAGAAGGCTCATTGGAATTAATTTCCTGGAAAACATATATCAAGCATTATACGAGTGAATTGCATTTAATACCCATGGGAAAATCACAATAGGCTAAGCATTATACAAAACGAAAGAAGTGACTATGTCCAAGACCCCACATAGAATGATTTTGTTCCAAATTATTTTTTATTTAGGGCTTTTGCGACGCTTTGTATTCCCGACGTTTTAAAAACGGTTGTATAAAGTGCGTTTTGTTGATGCTTTTGAAACTAATCATGACACATAAACACGAAGTAAACTGCAAAAAGTACCCATGTGTACTACCGCCAACGCAACGGCGACTGCGTCCGCCTCCGCCTCCACCTCCGCCATTGACGCTAGTGCCGAGCCGACATCTCCGTTGCTATTTCTTCCCTCATGATCGAATTAATCATTGTGAAATGACAAATTGAAAAAGGCGAAAATCCTTCGAAAGGCTCGTGTGTGTTTGAATCACCCGTGGATTGCGTGACAGGTTAATCTCCTCTGTTATTATTTTTCCATTTATTTTAATTGACCTTATTCCATCCGTGTGGTTTTGAGGGGTCGATATTCTCCTGTGCGATTTGAATTCATAATTCAGTATAGGAAGCTGACAAGTGATTTTTAGTTTCATTTGTTTAAGGGCTCAAGTTAGGATTTGAAACAAGAGTTTGCAGATTGTGAGAATACATGACTTGATTTTTATAATTTACTTAATTACAGTTTGCTAATTTTCGAGAGAATGTGTTTACTAGTGTTGTATATTTACTACAAGAAAAACTAGTTTCAGTGACCAAATTCTAAGCGATCATCACTAAATGGTCACTGAATATTCACATTTAGTGACCAAAAGTAATTTGGTAGCAAAAGTCGGAAGGGTTAAATCCTTTTGCGACCGGCGAACATTTGGTAGCTATAAGTGGTCACTAATAGTTTGACATCTTTTTAGCAACTAAAGCTCAAGTTTGTAGCGACAATTTTTATGGTCACTATAACTTAGTGTCAATAGTGACCAATTTAACATCAAAAAATTTTACGGTTGCTACAAGTCTTTAATTTAATTATTAACAACCAACTAATTGACTTGCTAGTAACCACTTTAATTAATTTGGTTGTTATGAAACTACTTATGGAAATCTAATCGATTTGGTCGGTAATTTAAAGAAAAGAAAAGAATGAAAAGAAAGATGGACGGCGAAAATGCAAATAATGGAAAAACACAACCAATTCTCATTCTTCCGTTACATGCATTTCTTTCATCCCAAATCATTACTCTGTTCAATCTCTCGCTTACGCTCTCTCTCTACCAATTCTCGCCTGATATTAGTGAAAATCAAGAAAGAATTATCACTTAATTTCTTCATTATACCGCACCAAAATTCCTCTTGTCTTACCTCTTTTGTTTTCCCTAAAAGTATTCGCCTATTCCACCCAATTTCTCCAAGCTGTAACACCCCGTAATTTATGCTTATGTTATGTGTGTGTATATATATATATATACACACACACAAGAGTTTATTGTACTTAATAATGAGATTTGGGGCTAATATGTTATTAGTAGATAAAGTTGGGGGATAAGTATAATAATAATGTTATAAACTTTGCAATCAAGTTTTGACATGGTTAATCAGATAATTGAGAAAGAAGTGTGATTAATTGGAAAATTAGAGAGAGACGCGTAGAGTGTTGGATGAATCAGTTTTCCTTTTTTTTTTTTTTTTTTGAGAAACAAAGATTTTATTAGGCATAATTAGCCAAATTAGAGGGGTGGCTAGATTCCTCCGTACAACTTAAATAAAAACGAGTAGCAAGACAATGAGCCAAAGTATTACCAGAACGTCGAACAAAGAAAAAATCGCAAGTATCAAACGAGCTAATAATGGAGAAACAATAAAGGATTATGTGAATGGGTTGTTCTTATAACTTATAAATTGAGATTATGTGAATCATTTGCTGTGATTATTTTCATTAATTACTTATACGTTGTTCTTTGTCAGCTTGTACATTAATTTATTATTTGATTTTTATATGTTTTTAAGGGATTGTGCCTTGTGCATTAGAATACTTGTACTCTCGTCTAAAATAATTTCAAAAAAAATTACCCGTCCTAAAAACACTCAACTCTCCCTCTCTCTCTTCGCCCGCCCTAATTCTCTATCCCTCTCTCTCTCTCTCTCTCTCTCTCTCTCTCTCTCTCTCTCTCTCTCTCAGTACAGAGCCATTTTCTTATTCACCGGCGAATTCGTCATTTTCTTCCGGCAAGAATCCGCATTTTTGTATTTTACGGTGAGTTTGCGTTCTCCTCTCTGTCACAATTGAAACGGCAAACACGAAATTGGCAAGATTAGGGTTTTCAATTTTTATGTGCCGTAAATTATCTATTTTATGCTTTGATTTTTGATTATTGATTTTTGATTTTTTTTCTTAATTTTCTGCAAATTGAGTTGTTTTTTGACTGTTCTCCATTGTTGCCCTAGTTCAAGCAAGAAAATAGAGGAAAAATGGAAAACCATCTGATTCCCCTGTTTCCAGCAGCCGAGGCTCTAGAATTCCAATTCAAAACTAACGGAGACGGTGAGCCACAATTCATATCCGTTAAAGCAGTCGACGCCGTCTACGGCTCTCCGACCCCAGAGCAAGTAGCTGCGAAGAATCGCAGAATTCTCGAGATTCAGCGAGCTCAAGAGCTGACCAATGGCAGTGCTTTGAACCCCGTGCAGTACAGCGACGCCGTCATCAGGCACCACAGGGTCGTTTCCGCCGCCGCCGCTGCGTCATCATCGTCGTCCGAGCAGATGAGTGCGATGATCGCTCGGATGGGCATAATGGAGGCCCGATTAAACGCAAACAGCGCTAGGGTCCACAACTCTCGATATGTCTACTCTTTGATCGGGAAATCCCCAATTCAAATTATTGGCAGAATTAGGGTTGCGTGAAGAAGGCTTTAGCAAGGGGCTATTATGATCAGATTACCTCCGGTGCTGGTCGCATCAGATGATTGGCGGTGGTGGCCGGAATCCGACGAAGAAGACAAGCTGTCTTAGAATCAGATTTCAGCTTTTGGTCCTTTGAAGAATTAATTGCTTGAAGGCCTTGGGGGTTGAATATTGACCATCAGGGCGCATGGTTAGAAACCTTGAGATGTTATCCTTCCATTGGTGCTGGTGTTCGGTGGTATTCTTCAGGGGTGGTCGCCGGAATTCGGTGAGAAGTTCAGCTGGTCTCTGGAACTTTAGGGAATGGAAAGCTGCTGCAACTCTTATTAATCGGAGCCAAAGTCGGAGGGTTTGGATTGCGAATTTGGGAATCATTTCTTCTCAAAACTCGGAGAGAACCGCGAGTGTTATAAGTAAGTGTTGCATTATTTCTAATTCAAGCACGTTGTATAGCCTTTTCGAGGTCAGAATCAGACGACCGTGAATCTGTCAAAACAGGGCAGTTTTGAATATTCTTCTTACGGGGCTGTTTTTGCTATGTTGAGCTAATAATTTGGGCTGTGTGTCTTCTGAGAACTTGTAGATTACATTGTCAGGTTCAATTTGGTGTATTATTTGAACAATTTGGATAACTCTATAAATTGTTATGATTTTTCAAATAAACAGTGCCAGCAGGTGCATTTGTTTTAAAACCTGGCAGTTTCATGCAATCATCTTCCGGGGCTGTTTTTGCTGTGTTAGGTTGATAATTTGGGCTCAGGGTCTTCAGTGAACTTGTAGATACATATGTTAGCTTTAATTCGATATATCGTTTAGGTTATTCGGATAAGTACGGTGATCGTAACGATTGTTCGAATAAGCTGTGGCAGCAAGATATTCTTAATAAATGTTTCAAGAAATTGACTTTGTGATATAGTGGAATAATACGGTTATATTAGCATTTGGAATCTTATTAAGTGATAAGTATTTTTACAGGTGTCGAGCGTACTTAAGCTCTCATTCAAGACTTGAGCATGACTCGAGAGTAAGGTGTTTTTATAGCACTGGCATTGGACTTCAGGTAAGGATCACTATTTCTTCACTATTATTTATTGGAAAAATAGAATGCACACTGAGAATAAGTTGCTTCTTGATCACTTAAATGTCATATATGTTACTTTGATTCTTGAATTGTTGAAAATAATGATCTATTCGGAATCCTCTTGACGGTTCGTATCTTCTTCCTCGAACTATTCAAATAAGTTCTCATTTTGATTCGAGACTTATTCCAATAATTTATTTCGTATTAATTGTGTTTTAAGGTTCCTCAATTATTATTTGAAGTAGAACAAATGAATTACAATTTTCATCATGACTAATAATTCTCAGACAATGTATCACATTCAACATATGAATTGGATGAGGTAAGTAGCTACTTCTGCAAGAGCCTATACATTATTGGATTATGAGTGCTACTAAGTGACAAATGATTGAAATTGATTCTATCATACGATTTCTTATTTTCTAATCGAATAATTATTTTTTTCCTTTTCAGGTTGGATTGTTTGATGGAGTGAAAGAACGTTATTGTGGAAGTCATATTTGTTGTCGCTTAACAATTTATAAAGTGGAATCTTTCTTATTATTTGAAATAATTATAGCAATCTTTCTTATTATTTGAAATGATTGATTTATTATTATATTGAGTATGATAAACTGGAATTATAATACTCGCATTTGATTGATAATATGTAAATTTGCAATCTTTAGTTTTATTTTAATATTTTTTTTATTGGTTTGAATTGCTCAGTAAATTAATGCAATTGTCGAAACCATGTAAAAACTAGTGCAACCAATAATATGGTCACTATATGTATATATTTTAGCAACCAAGAGATATATTATTTATCAACCAGTAGATACCGTCACTATATGTATACTATTTAGCAACCAAAAAATGTGGTCGCCAAATATATATCCTATAGCAACAATAAAATATGGTCACTGTATGTATATATCATTTAGCAACCAAAAATATATGGCCACTATATGTGTTGCTATAGCAACCATGTTAATGTTATTGCAACCATAAATTTTACATTAGCGAGTCAAAAACTGGTAGCTAATAATTATATTTTTAGTGACCATTATTAGTTCGTCGCTACATCTTATTTTTAGCGTCCAATTAATTTTCTCGTCACTGAGCACTTTTAGTAGCCACCCTGTTGTGACCACCGGTGACCAAGCTTAATTTGGTTGGTATAAGTTTTAACTACCATTTTCTACCTTTTAGTGACGATAAAAAATCGTCACTAAAACCAAAATTTCTTGTAGCGTGTTAATTTCTCAGTTTGTGCACTATGACTTTCTTATACTACAACAAAATATAGATATTACAACACTTTGGTTAGAGACATTTTTCTAAAAATGCCTCAAAGACACTTATAAAATTTTCTTATTTATAAGATCTATCGAGGCCTTTATTTTTGGGGACATATTTTTATAAATGCCTCTAAGTATAATTTATTAGGACACTTAACTTTTTTCCTCATTTCTTAAATTTGTTGGGACACTTACCAATTCCCAACTTAAGCCATTTTTCACAAGAAAAACCTACTGCACATTTTTCTTCCAACAACGACGCAACACAACGATGGAGGAGGAGAAGAAAAGAATATCTTGTTCATCCTGATAACGACGCATAAGGTAATCATGTCAATTCCTTTATTCTTTATGGTAATGGATTTTGAACGCTTATCCTTATGAAAAAAATTCTTCCTAATAATTTAAATTCAAGCCCTAACTATTTATACTTCTAAATAATTCAATATATATCTGTCTATAAACTTCAAAATTGGGAATAAGAATATGTTGTTTATTGATTCTCTATACAAGCCTTGTGATTGTTCGACATGGGATAGGGAATTGTAGGAGAAAGGATAAATTCTTATATTAAAGAAATTAAAATGCTATTATGTTCTCAATTGTAATGGAGCAGTAGTGATTCGTTTATGCTGAAGAGAGGAAATAATTTTAGCAAAATACTCTAATATTTTACTCTAATTTGAATTCTTTGTAGAGTATGTTTCATTATTCAACTCGTCTCCAGTTCTTGTAAGAAATTTTAGTTCTAGTTTTGTTGATCTTCTTCTCTTTTTTTTTTTTTTTTTTTTTTTTTTTTTTTTTTTTTTATTATTATGTATTGTATTAAATAATCTGACTCTTTAATCAATTGATTAGTTTTCATTTTATTATTTATACTATATATATTCAAAATATTAAGCATGCAATGTCAGGAATCATTTCAGGAGCCGATATTTTGCTCCCCAATTTACTTATCTAAATAATTTAATTCAATCTTGCAAATTATATCTAAAGATACATTCAATAGGAGGTGAAAATTGATGCAAGAATAATTTCCCAGGTAATTGTATAGAGACAATTGGAAATGTCATTCGAGTAAATGTTGTGTAACCCTCGTTATTTGGTTTTTTTCTTTTTCTCTTGTGTTGAGTGATTTAGTTGATTTATAGATCATAAGTTTTTGTTGGTAATCGTCTTATCTTGATCTCTCTTGCTACTTGTTTTTTTGGTACATGTAAATGTAAGCTATATTCATATATATGATTGAATGATATTTTAGAATATCTACCTTTCGATGTATTTTTAATAATATTGTATTTGTAACTTGGGTTTCTTGTATTCATTAATGTATATCTTGTGAGTGCAGTTTCCTGTTGCTATGGATGATAAAACTCCAAATCTTCTTATTGGTATGCTCTCTTTTTCCCCAGTCTTTTTTCACTTGATCACCATTATTATATTTTAATACTGATCCAGAAGGGACAGGTCGACAAAGTTATATTTTTAAATCGTTAAGAACAGACACTCTACGCTAAATTCATGATGTTGGGGTCGTACATGATTGACTAGCTCTACTAATCTTCTTCTTTGCTTTCTTCGCGTTCTTTGCTGTTAATTTTAGTTTCTAGGTATTTTTTAAGTTATTCTATTTTTACACCAATTAAGAATGAGAAAAATACTGTAAAAGAGATCGTGTATTGAATATTGATCATGGTATTTGTAACTTGTATTGGTTTCTTATTATACTAATTTGTGTATATTCTTGTATATAGAGGTTGCTTTGAGTGAGGAGTTTTATTATTAATGTTCCTAATGTATATGGTGGGAGCTAAATTTAGGACACTGGATTTTATCCAAGAGGTTCTTTCATTATTTGCTAGAAAACTAAAGCGAGTTCTAGATATTGTAATTTTGTATTTTTACGATCAATGATTCAGGGCTATGGAGATTAGCTGTAGAAAGTATTTGTTTACTCTGATGTTCAAATACAGCTGAATTTTAATAAATGATAGTTGAAAATGTTAAAGTTTTTGTTTTGTTTTTATAGTTCAATGTTGTGTCTATTGTTGTTGGAGTATAACTATTATAATAGGATCGGATATTAATGTATAATATAATATAATATTATAATGTTGGGACATATATAAATTGTCTCCAGAATAAATTAAGTGTCCCAACAAATATCTAGGTACCAATATTGATATATTTATATGACATATACATGTGCCTCAAAAATATTCTATGGGGACATATATAACTGTCTTGAAAAGCCAATTTTATGGGGACATATAATAAATGTCCCAAAGGCTATTGCGACACAGAACTACGCGACTAATTGTCGCTAAAAGTATCAGTGTCCCAAAACAATCTATATTAGGGCAATTTTTTGTGTCTTAAAAGGTGTTTTTTGTTGTAGTATATGGTACCAATGATTGTATTTCGAAGGATGCATGCTTTGGAAGAATTTCGTTACCAAATAAACCTATCTAGAACTCAAGTTTGAGATTTGTTTAGAAAATCTATGTAATATGATATAAAATCCCATTGATAATTAATGTGCAAATTAATTTGGAGTTACGGCTCAAAAACGGGATAATATATACACCAACCATGCTGGGGACTATTTGTCTTCTGATTTAGCTCCGTCGTTTCTCCATCTCAGGTGAGCAAAGGATAAGTATCAGACACTGTAAGTTCACCTGTTTGCATAACGTTACAAACGTCTTTTTCGGTACTTCTCTTTACTTACGAAAAGTGTACATTATTAGCTTTTACGATATATATAATGCAAGCGCAAGTTCTTGCATTGAAACTCACTGGTATCTCTTATTTTGTAGGTTAGGTTAGCATCGTAATTAATTGTGGGTTGCAACTTGCAACATTCTTCGCCGAATATCAGAAAATTTCTCTATTTTTTTTTCTTGATATCTCATTGTCATCTGTGTTGAACCACTTTTTTTGGGGTTTCAGATTTTCATGGTCTTCTGCATAAAAATTACTTTACTGTGATTCATATTTGAGCAACACTATATGGGATTTAATTTGATGTTGCCTGAAAGATTTCCTTTTTTAAATTCTATTATTTTACGATCTTCCAGTAATATCTATACAACAATTTTATAAGCTTTAAAAATATGAATTTTGCTTATTTAGGAACACTAATTCTTTTTTTTTTTTTCTTGGATTGTTCAGCAACACATTTTACATTGGAGCATGGGAGCAAGGACATTTTGTTAAACTAAGGCCACGTTTGGTTGTCAAGATAAAATTAGCCAAGATAAGGTTATTTTATTGGAGCTTGAAACGTCCAACAAAA